ATAAAAGTATGCTGGCACGCCCATTAAGCGAACAGTTTACAGTTATTTATATTTTTTATTTAAATTGCATAGCAGTTTGGCTTAGCTAGTGTCAACTATGACAACGAGAATGACGACGACGTCTCGAAACTTAACCAGGTGCCATGGAAACGACTCCAGTTGTCTCCAGTTGGCTGTCCGTCAACTAGACAGTTAGCTGTACCCTCTCTCTCATTCACTCCCACTATCTCCATCTCTCTGTACTTGTCTGTGTATTTTGTAGACTGTTGTTGGCCCGCGGAGATTTTTCAATGGCTGCGTCAAGTTGACGGCATAAATAAACAAGAGCAATGAAAGCAGGAAAAGCTGCAACAAACAACAATCGCAACAGCAACAGTAATAATAACAACAACTTTAGTTAAAAGCATCATAAAAATAATAATAATAATAATAGTAGCTGGGAGCAGCGGATCAGACAACGTTGACAAGAAAATGGCTGCCATTTTGCGTTTGGCAAATGGAAATAAACTGCGGAAAAACTGGCCAACTTTTGCCTTGCCTCGCCGTGTTAATGGGTCAATTTATATGGCGAGCTCTAGCTTGACAGTTCACAAAATATGACAGCAACGAAAGTAACAAAAGCAACTACAACAAAAACAATTGTCCCACTAGTCGTATACAAAATTGAGCGGGAATTGAAGCGCTCGACATGCGCTTCAAAAATGCGAAAACTTCTCGAGCACGAAACTATTTTCCAATTTTAATTGCTGCCTCTCACGGCATGTGACCTGCCTGATAATCTGGTCACACTGGCAACGACCAACAACAACTACAAAAACTCTAATTAACTCTCAACCTTATTTGGCTGTCCCTTTTTTGGAATCTTTTAAATAGTTTTCTCACTCTTCTTCTGCTGTTCTCTTTATATGCGGTAGAAAAAATATCACCATTATAAACAGCTCTCTCGGATAGAGGTTTCCATGATTTCTTGAAACAAATTTAATTCACTAGAGAAACTAGGCGGATTTAGAAAATATAATAATATAGAATATATATAATTTAATCTAGGAAATAATAGAATAAAAAGCAAATGGAATTAAACCCAACGTTGAGCTCTTTCGCTACTTCTTTTGGTTTATCTATTAATAATGGTGATATTTGTATTGCCGACACTGTATGTGCTTAGATAATCGCGAGTTCGCAGTATTCATTTCTTTGCATACTTTTCAGCGCTTCCAGCTACTAAATACCCATACTTATAAATAAATTAAGAACTTTTAGTTCACAGCAAATACAACAACCACAATAACGTCTTGTGGCCTTGCTTAGACGATATTACAGGAATTTTAAATGGGCATTTTGTTTGCTAAGTTTGACTTTGATGGAGCTCGCTTAAAAACAAATTTATTTAAAGGCTGAATAGTAATTTAACTTCTTAGGAAGTCAGTTCAACTTTCAACTTGTTAAATATAATTGTAATTATATGTTTGTTAATGATAGTTTGTTCCATATAAGAAATCATTTTGCATAACAAAATCTGAGTTTAATGTTGTGTCTTTTATTCAATTTCATCGATCAAGCCTAAGGTAGATAATTATTTACACCCCAAATTATAGTTTCTGAGATTCATTTATTTATACTCATGATGCTGATCAGGAATATATCTGCTATATATTTTAACAATTTTAATTTAATTTTAGTTTTATAAATAGTTCGATTTTCATGTGCACGCAGCGCAAAGATAAAAAGAAAGCCCAATTATATTCAATTTAATTATTGCCAAAAAAGTGCAGCAGCTAACAAAAAGGCAAACAACAAAAAAAAAGCTGGGAACATTTATAAATCGGTTAAATTGCTCGCGTATAAAATAATTTTGGCCACAATTAAGTGAAACAGTGACGCGTGTGCATAATAATTTATGATTTCATTTAAACAACTCAGCTGCGAGTAATTATGTGACCGCACACGAGAACTTACACACAAAGAAGCACACACACTCTCACACCCAGACACACACACACAGAATACACACATCACTCATACGAGCCGTAAGCCCAGACCAAAGCCAGAAATTAGACAGAGTTGCGCTTTGTTGCCCACTAACGTCCAGAATGGCAGGGTTGAAACGAGGGGATTGGGATGGGGTAGCAAATGGTGGGTTTGGGGAGGGGTGGAGGTGGAATGGGTGTAAGGTCGCCATCAACAGTCCGTATAAGTTGACCGCACAGCTGCGAGTTGGGTCTCCGGTCGAGCGCGAACTTTGCGCCTTGCGACCCCTCAGGGCCAAACAATTCGCAAGCACACACACACTTACACACTTACACACACACACATTCGCACACACATACACTCTGTGCTTATGCGAATTAATGACTGGTCGTTGGCTTTACCTGAAGCGCTTAATTTGAAACGATTTCGCTTACGGCTTTAATTCAGCTGCTTCTCAATATGCAATGGACGAAGTGCCTGGTCAATAACAGTACATTAACAATTTATTGATTTAATGCTTAAGCAACAAACAGATAAACAAAACAAACAAAACATTCTTAGTTCAAGCCGTGTTACGTAAAACAGTTCAAATTACAGCGCTTTTAATAATCAACACAAACAGCAAAATTTAATTAAAATAGCGGACGCATAATTATATTCTAAAAACTATTTGTGTAATAATATTCAATTAGTCAGCCGAAGTGCTTTGCTTTCATTTATAGAGTGCCTACAATAGAACCGTCTAAGGCAATCTTATTTTCAGTTAGTCTTTCGCAAAGCTCAGCTAAATGGCATCAATAGCGGAGCTCTGAAATGAAATGCTTTCAATTCAACACAATAGAAACTGGCAGCAGTTAAGCACACACTGTTATCCAACAGTTCGGGATCGATTCTGAGAAGGGAAAGATGTCCTAAGATTAACCACAGTCGATAAATATAGACATTACCTTAAACATCAGAAAAATTCTCGAAAATAAACCATAACAAAAAAATTCAACTCCCTCCTTCCATATTTTCAACATGTTTCTTTCGAGAATCTCAAGAGCCAACTCTGACGAAGTGCAATTCATGATTTTGGGCTTATCTAAGAATCCAAGAATTTAAAGCACGTCACTTAAGGATATCACAAAATCCTTGTTTTCTACAAAAATAAACACATGTTTAGCATCTTCCTCGAAATGGCCATTTTACGGCCGATTATTAAATTTCTCACTTTTTATATGATTCTTGTTTTTTGTAGATTCTTAAAAATCCATGCGAATCGATGGTGCTCAGAAAAAATGTGTCCTTTTGAGTTACTTAAGAATATGGCTAACATATGCCTGAATAGGAAATAATCTATTAAAATACCTTTTTAATAGGGGTCAGATATAACCCATATTTCCATTGAGTAAACGCGGCGCTTACAGATTTCATATTTACGATAACAGTTAACAGTTTAAGTCTATCATAACTATCAACTAAACATTTGCATTCTGTTTTGCCAGGCCATCACGGGATGTTGCTTCGAGCCGTTGCCAATTCCCCAGGAAACAACAACTGTCAGAGACACCCCGGCGGAAGCTGACCTTTCCACTGGAATGTCCCGCCCAGACCTTGGCCAAGTGGCCAGACGTGTTCCGGAAACTGTAGAAGACGTGACTTCATAGCTGCAGCTTGACGAAATTTAAGAAATGTGGCAGGAAGATAGGTTGGGAGGGGCAAGGGTAAGCAAGGTGGTTACACACACTCATCCATTCGTATACAAATACCTTACCTCCCTTACGATCTAATAATACCACCCATATACAATATATTATTATTAAATATTATTTATAGGAATTTGTACTGGATACGAACACCTCGCACCACGATCTTCACGCTTCCTAGAACATCAGCCATTCTTAAGCACAAACTTAAACATGACAGCCAATATATATTAATTAAATACAATTTAATTTATGTCTTTTGATGCCGACGAGAACCCCGCACCTCGCATGAACCTTTGAACCTTTGAACCAGGAAATGTGCTGCTTCTTAGAATCATTAGCCACCTCAGGCACAACTTGAGCACGACAATCATTATATATTAATTAAATAAAATGTAATGTGTTTGTTCGCACCTCGGACCCACAACAAAAGCTCTCAACAAAAGCCTTCGCGGAAGTGACTCAAGGCTTTTGCCTCGCTAAATGAAATAGTGAGATAATACATTTTCCCGAGAAAATTAAATTTTATTCGAATAAAATGAAGTAAAGATTTGTATATTTAAATTTGTTTAATCAAATGAATTTTATTTGTATTCACTTTGCCATTGAGAACGGTTTGTTGCTTAATGTTATCTACATGACATTTAGTTACATATTGTTCCAATTTTTCATTTGAAAACCGAAAAAACTATCAAAAGTTTTCATGAGAGTGCAGTTTCATTTCTTCTTGTTGTTCTTGTTGTTGTTATTTATTTTTGTTTTTGTTTAAAATATTTACTTTAGCTTAAATAACAATTATATAGTTTTGCTTTTATTGATAGTTTTGCTGACATTTACGAGAGACTTTATTTGAATGAGTTTCAATTGAGTTTTACTTTTTAGTTCATGTTTTAGTTTGAGCCCTGTGCAAATGAAAACTGTCACTTTTGCTATTACTGTTAATGTTACTTAACTATTTAATTGATTTAACCAAAATTGTGTGTGTTTGCATTAAAATATATGTACACGTTAGTAGCTGTTTGTTATACGCAAATTGCTGCTCAAATTAACAATGCAATTAGTTGATTTATTTTCATTATGGTTATTTATTAATTATAGTTTTGTTGGTTTTTTTGCGTTAGTGTATTATTAATATTTTTTTTTTTCTTCTTAGTATTTTATTATGGAAGCGTGGTGCAGGGGAAAGTGTTAAATGAAATTGAATACATTAATCAATGCGAGCCAGTAATTGTACACATTTTGATAATTACATTTTAGCAGCGATTGTTTATGTATTTGTTATTTGTTTTTTGTTTTTGTTTTCATTTATTGTTATTCATTATTATTTTATATTTACGCTATGCATAAAATTAAACCTAATTTTTTCATATCATTATCATGAATATTTGACAATTTTGTTTGCAACCGAAATTATCGTTTAACTATCAATATATAACTATATAATTATTTACAAGGATTGTTTGTGACTGTGTGTTCAGTTTGAGTTTCAGTTAATTATCATGATGCCAACGATTGTTGTTGCTGCTGGTGAAGCTGCTGTCGCTGGAGCCTGGAGCTGTTTGTCGACTGCGACTGGCTGAAATCATAATTGATATGCACTAAGGATAAGCTGGCGGAGCCAAGAAGCCAGCGCAACCACCGCACCACAGCACTGGCGACCAGGGCTAGGACGAGGTTAAAGTTGAGGCTTGTCCTCAGGCAGCTGCCGTTGGCACCGCTCTTCTGCATGGCCGCAGGACTCTCGTCTGCAATCGAAGGATATGCGATTTATCAGCGAGTTGAGTGACGCATGAAAGAGATGAAAAGAAAAGTAAAGCTGTTGCTGGCACTTCTGCTGCTGTTGCCGCTGGTGCTGCCACTTACCGTTAATGACATTGACCACAACGCTGGCAGCCTCGGCTGTCGTCGGCATGCACGTATAGTTGCCGGTATCCAGCAGCTGTGCATTCGCAATCCGCAATCTGCAACATGGATTAAAGCAAAGGCAGAAGCTTAAAGCATGTATTGTGTGGAGGGGCAGTTGCAACTACACCCATTGGGCCAATCATTTGCCAGATGTATTCAACTCCATTGATCAAAGTTCAAAATGCCACAGAGCTAGCAATTGAGCTGGAAACTAACAAGCACCCCAAAGCACCAATACCCAACACAAAACAACACACAGCTTGTTAGTGGCCCTCAGCTTATTCCAGCGTGCGAATTCCTTTAGTTTGATTCTTCATGATTATGATGAACACACATTCCTTCCCATTCGGCATGCCATTGAGGATTGCGGATGATGATGATGATGATGCACTCAGAAAAAAGGTCGCACTGAATTGTATGCGCCTAGTGTAATTCATCCTATTATTCAGAGAGTATATTTCTAAGAATCTGGGCTTGCATTTTAAACTTTAGATATCGATTTCTGAATAATAGAAAACATTTCTAAAAAGTGGAATGAAAACCATATTTATAATTGTCAATTTAGGTCAAGCCTTTCTAATTTTAAGAAAATATTTTCTTATATTTAGAAATAATTTCTAAAAACAAAAAAAGTATATAGTTTTCAGGGTTATTTTTATTTTGGGGAGACTTTTACTTCAATGCAAATTTCTAAGTTTCAGGGCGATTGTTTGACTGAGTGTTGGGACGCTCAACTTAATCCTGGGTGCGAATCGCTTTAGTTTGATACTTCATGATTATGATGGAAACACATTCATTCCTGATGATGATGATGCTTACCTGCTTTGCAATTTCTCGGCCAGTGTTGATTCCATTGAGATGCGTTGCAAGTCGATGGCTGCATCATTCGGATGCGCCACAAAGGGCGTCAGTATGTAGGGGCCACGGTACCAGTAAATTGGTCCAATATCCTGAGCCGCTGTTGCCGGTTGCTTCACGTGGCATGTGAGCGTTATGACGCTGCCCACTTTGACATACAAATCCGTTGGACCGGCTATAATCGCTTTGGCATCTGGTGGCGTTACTGCAATCGCAAAATAGTGTACGAAATTGATTAATAGCACTTCTAGGCGCTCCCTTTCACACACACATACCCACACACACACACACCCCAAGTGAACACTTGCCCCCAAATGTTGCCACCGCGTGTTCAGCATGCGACTAACCACACACAACACACATTTCAGGCTGGGCATGGCAACAATTTAGCAGATCATCCACAATTAGATTCGATGAATCAGAGATGCACCTGCATGCCACACACACACACACATATATATATATATATATATAAGCGAATAAGCAGCACAGTTAATAAGCAGCTTGTTGCAGGTTTACGTGACACCATTTGAGATGTGTCGACCTGTGAAATTTCCTCGAATATTAAACAGATTTCGAGTGGATTTCGATGACAATGTCCGCTTGGGATTTCAACCCAACTGTAAAGCTTTTGGCAAAATTTGAAAAGTGGAACTGGTAGCTAGGAATGATACCCAATTCAATGTTCAACCCTTCCCAACTATAAGCCTTTGCTTCCTTCCAGACTCTACCAGCCACAAGCTTAACCTTATTTCTGATTTCTTAAGCAGAGAAAACTAACGTTAAAGTCAACTTTTAAATTAAGACCTTAGCTGATATTGCTCTTTAATCTAATATTAATTTCCATTCTAGAGTTCATTCTGGATTGAAGTAGATATGTAGAAAACCAAGCATTACGCATCTAAGAACTAAAAATTACGATTTTTTGAGCCTACTTAATAAAATATGTATTCAATTTCCAAATCAATATTTCTTGCGTCAACATAAATCTTATCCAGGAGTAATTTGCTATAATTTACCATTACTCAAATTAAATTCTGACTCCAGTGAGCTTGATTCGGTTTGTTGAGGCTTGTTAGATGACAAATGGCTTATTCTGGTTATTTGATTAAATTATCATAATTAAATTAAGTGAGATTATCTATAAAGTAGCCGCAACATTAATGTGAATTACATAAAATATTTATAGCACTTTTGTCCTATTCAGTCAAGTGAAGCGGAACTCAAATATATACTATCAGATATGTGCAATATCTATTGCTATTGACAGTAGCTGTCGTGACTGTCAATTGGCCTTAATGAGCTGGCCATTCTCTGCTGGCCAGTTAGCTGAGTAACTCTCCAGAGTTAAGCATCGAGGAAGCCTGCTTTATTGTTTATATTTGCTGTGGACTAAATCGGCTTTAGTCGCTGCTAGTCGCTGTTAGTCGCAGTTAGTCTCTCTGTGCCTATTTCCTAGTCTCTGCTCTCGAACCCTCAGCACATCATTAACAACGTCAACATTTGACTTTGTTGACTGGCTGCTGCTGTTGGCCAAATTGTCGGTGGACACACGAAAAAACATTAGGCCAATTTTGCAGAGCCAACGACTTGTAACTGCGGATTGTGTGTGTACACTGAGAAAAACTCGCACTGAATTTTAAATATTTGCCACATAAAGCACATTTCTAAAATTTGAGAAAAATATATCTAATTTCCTGGGAAGACATTTTTATTTTAGTTTTGCTCAGACTTTTATTTTATTTTATTATTAGGCATTTGTAATTTAAGATTTCACATCAGACACTAATCTACTATATTAGCAAAGAGACCTAATTTCATTATTATTTTCTGAATTTCAGAGACGATTTTTTCTAAGAATCAAAGTTTGAATTTCAACATTTTAGATAATAACAAAAATTATTTGTAGAAAATAGAAAAAAACATCTTTATAACTTTAAGAAAAATGCTTTCCTATATTTGCAAATTATTTTAAAAGCAAGAAAAACTTTCTTTCTTTCTTTTCAGGGAAATATTTTTGAAAATGTAGGGCGACTTTTTTCTGAGTGTAGGCAGAAGGAGTATTCGAGTATGCGAGTATATGCCGCGCATTTGTCTCTGTCTGCGGCAGCTGTTAACTGCCAAATGCCAACAACTAAGAGCCAACTGCCAACTGGAAGCACTAAGCAACAGCAACAACGGCAGCAACAGCAACAACAGAAATAACAACAACAATGACAACAACAAAAACGACAACAGCTTATCTCGCCCCCAAAATCATGGTCAATATTAGAAAGCCACGACGCACCCAGGCAAGAGCCATCAACGCAACGCTATGAACATAATGGTTCCGTTCATGATCCCCAGCACCCGCTCACACACACGCACACACATGTACTGTCCTTTGACCCTCGCACAGACACACACATATTTGTGCGTGTGAGTGAATTCACAATAACAACTGGCGAACAACACTTAAAATGTGTGTAAAATACGCGACAGCAACAAGAATTGTGGCAGTCAACGGCTTCATTTACCCCACTGCCCCCAGCCACGCCTACCCCACCAGCCCCCAAAACAATGGGTCAATGATACGCTGCCGTCCACAATGTTGAAAGTGGAAAGCAGAACCCCAAACCTGCGCCCCCCTCTACTAGCAAATATTTTAGGCTTTGTGGTTACAAATTTTTATGTGTTAGTTTTGCCATTTCATTTAGTTTTTGTTTTTCTGCACACCCTGCACACATTAAATGGCTAAAAGCGGGTATAACAAATATTTTTTTATAAACCAAAATATGAAAAAAGATATTAAATAATATTAAAGTCTGAAAGCTTATTTCCTGTCCAGAGATCAAATTAAATACACAGTCTTTGTATGTGGTTTAGTTATTTTTAATCAAGCATTAAATAAACAAAAAACTTTTCAAACTCTGACTAAAGGGTATCTTCCAGTTGAGCACATCATCTTCAACAGCCTTCTCACTAGACTAACTTAAATATATAGTCTTTATATGTAGTTTAATTATATTTAAATATATTACTACAAATAAATAGAGAACTTTTTGAGGTATCATTAAATAGTAGAGTATCTCCTCGTCGAGCACAAACTCTTTGGCCGAGTTCTCACTTGTTTTTTATGATGATTATGTGCCAGTTATGGGCAGCTTTCGATAACACAAAGACCAGACACGAACAATTCCCTGAAATTGACTCTTCACATAATGGCCACCTGAATGTGGAGTGCTTCGAGGGTTTGATTCTGTTTATGGCCAAAGATTTCAGCACTAGATACTTGAGACACAAATATATTGATATTCTGAGTGTGAAACCCGAACCAGAATAGCTGTCCGTAAAAGTTTAACAAGTATTTAAATTAAATACAAAAATATGATGCATGTTTATAGAAATATATTAACTGTTGAACAGTAATTAACTTAATTTATTTGCGGTTATCATGCTGGCACTTATTTAATATCTGTTTTCGTCTTGTCTTATTTCTGCTGTGGCCTTATTCATTTATTAATTAATAATTGAAATTCAGTACCGAAATCAGTCTCAGTATTTATGAAAGTCCTGGCTTCTGATTAAAAATAATCAAGGGTAAGTTATAAATTATAAATAATTATTCAAGAAACAATTTAGATTCTCCACCAATTTAAAGTATTCACTGGTTCCTCAATCTCGATTGACAAAGTGAGTTAAAATTTAAGAATCTTTTTAACTATTGAATTTAAAACCGTTTACTTCTTCACTTTTCCTCTCCATAGATAATCCAATTCTTTGGCACTATCTCTTCTTTGATTAGGTTTTTCCGTGGAAACAGGGTCACTTTGTTTGCGCCATTGAATTTTCCTTCAGTTTTTTTTCTATACACACACAGAGCATACCTCGCTTAAGGCATAAATATAATTTGTTTGCCTTCAGTCAAGTAGAATATTTTTGTTGTTTTTTTTTCAATGGAAGGAATTGTGCCGTAGTTTTTGTGTTTTGGGTGCGTAAAACCTGGTGACGGAATATTTTATCACGACGCCAACTCCAGAAAAAGAAGCCGACGAAAAATCTGCGCTGAGCACTTTTTTTCTTCCAAATCATTTGCATAAATTTTTCTTCAACTTGGCATTTCGGCGACTTTCCGTCGCCGGCACAAGACCACCTAGGCGAGGAGGTGGTTTGTGTGGGGGGGATTACTTTTTGTGCACACCAGCAAAATGGGAGTTTGGTTGCAGGTTGCAAGCGGATGCAACGGATGCAATGGGGCAATGGAGCAACAGGAAGCGACAGCGTTGATTTGAGTTTACTACTCTTGATGAGACTTATGCCATTTTGGCAGATTTTGTTATAAATAAAGTAAGGAGCTTCCACCCTTACCACGAAAGCCAATTTCCTGCTACACTCAAAAACAATTGGCATTGAAATTTAGAAATTCACCATAGTTTTTGGGCCAACGTAGCTCACCTAATTGTTCAGAAAGTATATTTCTATAAAGCACGTTGTTTTTTTTTCTTAATTTCAGAGTATTATTTACTAAAATGTTGAAAAAATATGTATATGCTTCAGGGTCTTTTATCATATATGTAGCAAAGAACTCAATATATCAGTCTTTTTATATTATTAATAAGCATTGTTATTTAAAAATTTTACATTTACAAAAACACCTTAAATAGCTTTTCTGACCTTTGGAACTAATTTTTTCCCAGAATCAAGGTTTGCATTTCTACATTTACATTATACATTTAAAATAATTGAAAAGTAGGGCAAGCCTTTCTAATTTTAAGGAAATGTTCCAATTCACAAGGCGATTTTCTAAAGTTCCCATCGTCTTTTCTCTGAGTGTAGAAAAATCCCCAGGCACAACAAGCTGTTGCTGCGCTGGTTGTTATATTGAGCTTGTCAGCAGATCGAGACATGTGCGCCAAATTTCACACAACACACAACTCAACTGCAACTGAAATGAACATCTCCAAGTTTTTACTAAATTTAATCATATGAATGGCTCTCAAGTGGTCCAAAAGTGGCCAAATAAATCGATTTAATATACAACGGGGAATATATGCAATACAAACCGGCTCAAATCAAAACCAAATCAAAACCAAATCAAAAGCAAAAACTAAAGCAATCATGGCAAACAAAAAGTATTTGAAAACGTGCTGAGCTGCCAGACGGCAAACTATTCAATAATTTCAATTAACTTGCCCCAGCAGTGGAAGTGGAAGTGGAAGTGTAAGTAGAAGTAGAAGAGTAGAAATGCCATAATCAAAATCACAATAAATAAACAAGTAAAACTTTGTGTTCCTCGCACATGATGACAAACATTCGGGAAAAGAAAGTTTCAAATCAATTTAATGTGCATGAATGAAACATGAACGTGCATGCCATTGTATAACAATTTATCACAAGCAAGCACACACACACACACACACACACCGACACATACATATACACTCGAGGGCAACTTGAAGTTGAGACGCATCGGAAATCCATTGTAGAAAACTTGTAAAATGCCAAAACAATGGCTTGAGAGCGCTGTGTAAACGTGCAAAAAACACCTAAAAGGATTCTATATAAGCACTCACACACGCACAGATACACACAGTGGCAATTGGCGCAACGCCCTAGGGGGCCACGCCCACGTCTCCGTTGGCTGGTGTGTGTTACATCCAGCATATGAATTTAGTATTGAATTTAAATGCAAATTGCGTTTGCATGCTAAACGCGTTGAAAATTTTAGAGCAGAAACAAAAGATACTAGCTCTTCAACACATACATATATATATCACACATATACACACAATATATATATATATATATAGATATATATTTATATAGACAGAGACTTGATGTAGCATATACATATATTCATTGCGTTGACCCACATTTACATGGCAGCTTGAATGATTACCGGATAAGCGATAATTGATGGTCTACTTTAGAAATTGACCAAGTGCTTGCCAAATTAAAGACTTGGCTACTACATAAATTAGCTGCCGCCCGAAGTAAGACATAATAATATACAATTCTTATTTGTATTAAAACAAGTTAGACTACTCCTGTTGGGACAGACGGCAGCCAGCTGTGAATTACTTATTAAACTTGCTGATATTAATTTGTTCAGTTAAAACCACTTTTTGATTAATAAAATCTTAATGAAATTTTTAAAGGTGCTTAAACATATGTCAAAATAAATAATATATTAAGTTTAATCTTTATTTGGCAGTTTTCAAATTTGAAGTCTTATGGTCTCGGAGATTAATTTTTTTAAAAATACAGACAGTCTAAGTTGACTTGGCTGATCAAGAATACATATACTTTACGGGCTGGGAAATGCTTCCTTTTTACGGTTAATAAATAATAATAGTAATAAAAAGTATAATGTCCACAATTGGTAAATGTCTCAAATAGCCAACATTTGACTAAATGGAGCTTACAACTATCGATATATGTATATATATACTCGTATATACATATATTATTCTGTTAAATTTCAGGCAAACACTTTTAAAAATATTGCCAAATAAAATGCATTAATTAAACAGAAGAATTTTACTACTTACAAAAGAAAATCAACAAAAATTTAGCAATTCCTTAAAGAAAAATATAAAAATTGTAATTTATTTCCTAACGAGCGGAAACATTAAAATCTGCTCAAATATTTATGAGCACTTTTTTCCCATCACTTCTATATATAGAAATATTTTAATACGTTGATAAAATTGCTGAAAGTCCCCTTAAATTGAACGCAATAACTTTATGGTTTAAGCATAAAAAACAAAACCAAACCCTTGCAGTAAACATATGTGTGTGTATATCGGTTTGTGTGGGTGTGTGCTGGTGTGTATGGGTGTGTGTTAAGCCAGATGTAGATATTGGCTTATACGTGGATTGCTGTATATGTATTTATGCGCTGCAATACGAAATGATGTCGCAGCATGACGCATGACCAACAAAAACTTTATGCAAAGTTCATATGCGATGTTGTAAACTGTACACCCACACATACACACACACACACACACACACGCCCCCCAATGCAGCTGACAAAGTTTGTGCCCAATTTGAAAGAGCCTCAACCAGAATACAAAAACTTGTTGGCTGCAAGTCGTGCGACAACTCGCTGACAATTCGTAAGAAACTCGACGACTCTTTATTACAAAATCTAGGAGAAAGAGACAGCTAGTTAGAGAAAGAGATAGGGAGATAGAGAGCGAGATAGAGTTGGTATTTTCTTACTCACCTATGACGTTCAAGCGGAATGCCATCGAAATCTTTGGCTCCGTATTCACCTGGCACTCGTAGATGCCACTGTCGCGTGGCTGCGCATATTTCACATGCAACGTCCAATCCTTGGAGTCGGCGGTGCGTACAACCTGCAACCGAAATGACAATGAACAAACACACGCACACACAGATAAATCGTTAAGGCAACTACATGATGAGTTTTTGGTTGGGAAGGGGCTCGGTTGTGGCAGCCTTTGGCTTTTGGAGTGTCCATGCACAAATTTAATCATTGCCTACAAGCATCCATGTTCAGAAAAGGGCGTAGGCAGCTTTACTCAAAGTGAGGGGTGGGGTGGAGGGTGTTATGTATTTTTGAATTTTAATTAGCCAATCCAATCGATATTGTGCTTGCTCGCATATATTTTGCTGACTAGCCAAAATGATCGCATTTATTAATTTCTGGCTTGCTACTTAACTATGTTTATTTTAGAAAGTCGCAGAAAAATAAAGAAAACTTTTAATTATAAAAAAATAAATATTGTGTCCACCTATTTTAATGTCCCTGAGTGTGCATTTTGGCTAAGGGCGTTTTGAATTTTAATTAGCCAATCCCATCGATATTCTTCTTGGGCACACCTATTTTGCTGACCATGCAAAAAATTGTCATTTTCAGAATTTTACGTTCTTTATACTAATTTCACTTGTGCTTCTGAACTATGTTTATTTTAAAAAGTAATAAAAAAAACTATAAATTATAAAAAGAAAACAAATTCTCACAAAGATTAGCCATTTTAATATTTTCAAGATTTTCCTTATCACTTTCTTTCATAACAATTTCTGTTTTGGTTGTTAAATACATTTATCTTAAAGAGTCACAGAAAAACTATAAATTATGCTTAATAATAGAAAATTATAGAAAATTATAGTTCAATCCAATCAAAGAAATTAATAGTTCAATCCAATCAATATCGCACACATATTTTGCTGACTAATTCCAAATTTAAATTGCTATATTTTTAAGTTGTTCCTTATCACTTTTTTTTAAACTAATTTCAGATATTCTCTTGGAAAAATATAAACACTTTACCCAAAAGGGCTAAATTAAATTTGTACTTTGCACAATTTTTCATTTCAGCTAGTTTTCATTCATTCAAATAAAATAATTAAAAGTTGACTCCATGCTTATCTTAGCATCAGTCTTATGTAACCAATTTCCTCTTCGAATGTGTCCATGTAACGTTACAAGGGGCAAGTAAACATCGCATCCCCCGTCTCCCTCTACCCTCCTTGAGTACGGGCCTGCAAGTAAACTTGCCAGGAGCAACGAATTGCATACGCAATTAAGCTGACTTGGCTTACAAATGGCAGCAGTATGCCCTCTTAGCCATTTAATAAGCCAGGCGAACATGCACACGAAGATAGCCAAGGATAGGGAGGGAGAGACAGAGAGAGTGAGTGGGAAAGATAGAGAGAGAGGGAGGTAAGACAATAAGTAAATTACGTATACGTACCTTGAAGCGCTCATCAGATGTGTAGGTCAGAATGCCCGCAGTCAGAATGTGCAAATCGCGTTTCCTTATCCAGGATACCTGCAAATAGACAAAAACACCCACACATACAGACACACACACACACACCGAGAAACACAGTTAGTGAGCAGGCGACAAAAGGACAATCAGCACTTAAGTCAATTTAAAAAAAAAATAAATTTCAAAAGGGACCCGGTCCGAAATAAAGATAGAAAATTTAATAAACCAAACGGCAAAATGAACTAAACCCAAAAAAAATAAAATAAGAAAAACTAAAAAAAAAACTCCTTTGTAAAATACAGTCGCCATAACACAGAGCGATTTGCGACACCTGCAACCAAATCCAGGACGAATGGCAACAGCCATGGAAAAGTGCGTTTCCAAAATGTCAGCGGCTTAAAGTTGGCCAAAGTCTCTCTCCCAGTTGGGGTATATAGCCCCCAAAAGCAGACAGAATGTAATCTGCCAGCCTGCCTTAGCCGCAGGCAACGAAAACTTTTCGTTGCTCCCAAAAAAAGAGAAAATCCCGAAACGCAAAAGAAAAAGTAAAACAAGGGAAAGCTTGCAAGGCCCGAAAAACTAAAAGTGTCAAAGTGGCAAAAGGGAAACGACGCCTTCCCACATCAAACAAAATATAACCAAAAAGAAAATAAAGAAGAAAAATCGAAAGGAAAATGAAAAAATGTGCCACTAAATCTCGCTCTTTTTAAAGAATGAGCATGGCTATGGTTGATGATGAGCAAGGTACACTCAGACAAAAAAAAAAAGATCTACAAATTACACGGCTTGCTTTAAATCGACCATCCCAAGACTATGATGCATTTTATATGGTTTTTTAGAAAGCCACCACCTTATATTCTAGAAATTGACTCTCTGTTCTTTCAGTTCGATTATTTTGCTGAGTGTACGCTGGGACTTGGCAACAGTTTTCGGTCAAGTGGATAGATGCGCTGCCAGGTGAAAGAAGTCGCACCGAAAAGGTAAGGAGCTCCAAGTATGCAAAGCAGCAAACACATCCCAATGATAGATTATAAGAGACTCTCTGCCCCTTTGAAAAACGGCTCAGCTAAAGTGGAAAGTGGAAACTGGAAAGCGGAAATTGACAGCCGACAAGTGGAAAGTGTAAAGCGGAACTGAAACAGATGCTAAAAATTCATTGAGGTTAAGCGACGAGCTATCAACAAACTGACCTTGGTAGTTTGATAAGTGTTGGATTTTGCGTAAGGAAACTATTTTTCAAATTAGTTCTTAGTCGATTTTATTTTTGGTCTTTTAAATATTTACTTCTAACTTTTCGTGCATTTCGTTAAAAATTAAGCAAATCCATAAATCACAGGCTTGAGGGCATTGCTACTTTTTGGCAAACTATTCTTATAGTTTATTTGTGTCACTGAAACTTTTTATACGCCTTTTTTTTAATTTGCATATATGCAAACTGAAATTTCCACAAGCTTTGCCGTAACTTTAAAAAGGATATATTTTTTAATACATTTGTGGCTTTAACCTATACTCCAAATCTACGCAGTAGGCCCAAAACTTTTGTGGACCTTTTTTAAAACCAGAAATGGGACACAACCTTGGTCAGAACTGTCTTGTGCATAAATTCCATTATGTAATTCAAATAAAAAGTATCTGTTATTTCCTTTTCATTGTATATAACGCCTCAATCAGTATGCAGTGAAGCCTTTTTAAAATACGACAAAATAAAACAAATTGCTATAAGCAATTAAACATTTCAAATTTGAATATTTTGAAGAATAATACGAAGAATGTTTCATTGTATGAAGTTATGAATGAATTGATTGAGATTCATTTCTGTTCACAGCCTTCACAGCAGACAAGCTCAAGTTACAAGCGACCTTTCGAGGTCGCAAAGAACGCAAAGAAAGAATGCTGGAGTCAAGAAAACTCGACTAATAGATACCCCGTAAACAGCTATTAAATAGTAACTTGTTCTAAATGACGGCATTCTTTTGTGACTTTGTTGAAATTTGTATAGTTGATCTATAATATTTCTGGGAATATTATATACGAATTGGGAAGCCAAATCTTTATGATTTTGCATTTTACAAAATGACAAAATGAAATAGATTTAATATGAATGCTATGATATTCAAGAATGTATATATACTCTATGCTTCCCTTCCTGCTATTAAATACTCTCCCAAACTTCATTATACTCATTAAGTTGTTTTCGTTTTTCAATTTTTCAGGGTATCAAAAGACAAGATAAAAACGGACAGCGATGATAAAGAGAAACTTGGGAAAATAATCTTTAAAGATGGTGGAGTCGCGCACCAATCAATAGATACACAAAACAAAATTAAAAATAAGTCAAGGGATCGCTGTAAAAAAGAAAAAACGCAAAAGAATACATATATATATATAAATATATATATATACATATAATGCAAAAACATAAACTAAACTTTGCAGGGTGGCGAATGCCAATGGACTGACAAAGGAGCAATAAACAGGAAGAGCAGGATAACGACAGCGGTCTGCAGTTTGCATGGGTGGGGGGGAGGTGGAGATGCTATGTCATTCAAGCAGGGAAAATGACAAAAAGATGCGATGAGAGATGATGACTAGCACAATGGAAGCGGAACCGGAAAACGATACGAGTAGCCGAACATGCCAACAAAAGAAAACGAACAAAAAACGGCAGCCAAAATATAGAAAGAAAAAACTTTTGGCTTAAGTTGATTTTCAGGCGGACTAGTTGTCGGAAGGCAAGTCCAATATTTGCTTGAGCGATAGTTAAAAGTGCATAAAAAAAAACAAAAAAGCAAAAGCAAATCGAAAGGAAAAGCATTTTGTGATAAGCGGCGTGGCACATTTTGCCACTTGACTCACCGATTTATCGCGCAAATTCTCAACGCGACAATTGATGGCTGCCGTGTGTCCCGTCCGGGCCGTTATATTCCGGGGCATGCCAAAGTCAAAGACCGGCGGCGGATAAGTTGTCTCATCCACATGATCATCACCATCATCGTCGTCGCCATCGCCATTGCCATCGAGCCGGTGCTCATCCAGTGCATTGTCGAACTGTGCCACATTGTTGTGGTGCAAGTGGTGATGGTGGTTGCCATTGTGGTTGAGACTGTGGCCATGGACCAATGAGGCGATATATACATCATCGACAGCCGCAATTGAGGGCAACAAGTCGTTGTCTATGACGCTGCCAGCTGCAAGGAGCAAAAAAAGACGAAGAAAAGCACAAAAGTTGAAAATGTAAATGGAAAAATTGAAATTCGAGCAGAGAGCAACGAGCAACTTGAATTGAATAAGCAAATGCGGCAATTGTTGATTGAATTGGCATCAGGATTTGTATGTCTGTTGGCCATCGATAGGGGGCCAAGTCAAGACTTCATTTACAGCTTAAGCATTGAGTAAGAAAAAACCACTTAAAGATATCGAGAAAATGCCCCAACTAAGAGAACAAAGGGCATACATTGCATTCAGAGCAAATTAATTAAATGCCACTCAATGCCCAGAAACAAGAGTAATAAATACTACGACGCCTCCGCATCTCACGGCTTGAGCATGTGTGCAATAGTCATACACTCAGAAAAAATAAATGCAATGAACTTTACACAGTTTTAGAAAAGCTTAACTCACCTTGTTATTCAGAAACTATATTTCTAAAAACCAGAAAAAAAATTTATAATTTCCAGGATAGCAGAATACTTCTTTTGTGTTACTTATTTTAATTATTTAGCTTAACTATTTTAAGATTTCACATGTACAAACATTTTATATACTTATTTATATATATAACTTTACAATTTTTCCTAAGAATTAGAAATGATTTCTAAAAACAAGAAAAACTTTATAGTTTAATTCAGCGCTTTTTTCTGAGTGGGCAATAGTCATAGAGCTGAGTCTGTGTGTGGGTGTGTGTGTGTCACGATGACATGGCCATGAGACAAAAGGCCAAATTGAATGCAGGCTCTGGTCTAAATGAAGTTGCGGAAATGCTCGTTATATTAATAATAATAACATTGAAGAGCAAGAATCAAATGTTTCCTGTGTTGCCCTTGCTACTCTTTTGACCATTTGGCCTAAACAGCGGAAATTGTTTTTAATTAAAATAAATAAGCAATTTAACGGTCCTGTTGTGGCCGGAAGTGCACATAAACCAGACCAGGGCCACTCCATGCTTTCAACTCCCAGCATCTAACTTCCGACTGGCGACTCTCTGCTCGCAGTTGAGCAAAACACTTGGCCAAAGTGATAAAAATTTTGACAACTCTGAAATTACACTTAATGAGTGCTATGGAAAAACGTGCCAAGCGAACAATAACAGTTTTTATCATGTTGTTTTTAACGCTACGATTTTTATGTCAACATTTAATGTAGCATTGCTTGATTCGCGCAAATGTTCAGCGCACATTAAGCGATAATTAAAAATAAAAGAAAATAACTCTATATCGTATGTAAGATGGTTATGATACTAAACATATATTTGTTGGTTGCATTAAAAATATAAAATATAATAAATAAATAAAAGCAATGGGTAATTTGGGTTTCGGTCTTGATTTTAATATGCTTGCATAATTTAAATAATATTATGGCAATTTAAGATTACTAGTTAAGATTAAGGATAGTTTATTTACATTTCAAATGCAATTCGAGAGATCCATTCAAGACCAGAAAGGTACTTCTTTTAAAAATCGGTTCAGTTTACGAGTTCACTTCAGTTCAAGTTATGTTAGTGGAAAATTTCGACTCGTTTCGGATTAAAATGCACCACAAGTTGTGCATCTCAAGTAAAATATGCAGTCAGACAAGACTCAAATTTGATCAACACAGACATTTATTCATTCTGATCAGTAAGCATTGCATATTATTGACCGTTTCGTAAAGTTCAAAGTTCACACTTGGCACTCAGAGCAGTGCAGTCATAAATTAAGAATACAGCCACACATTAAGCACATTGCCGTGACTTGCATAATCCCATTCGCATTATCCTTTTTCAAGTGCAACACTTGTCGCTTGTGTTCCTCGACATCCTTTTAGCATTGCAAAACAGCAAGCAGCAAGCAGAAAGCAGAATGCATATTTTTGCATTGCCATTTGAGTTTATTTGACATTTTAATGAGCGCATAATAACAACTCTGACAACGGCCAGAGAAACTCTGTGACAGTCAGTCTCAGTCGAAGTCACAGTCACAGTCACAGTTACAGTTTCAGTGACAGTTACAGTTACAGTAACAGTCAGAGATTCACGACACTCATAATTCAACGTTTGGCGGCTCCTTCACAATTTTTGGGTCGTTTACAGTAACTTCTCCCGGCTCTGCACCTGCCGCATCTCCTACCGCTTTCCCAGCCCGTCTCTCGTTCCGGCCTGGCTGTATAACTGGGTCACTCACTTTGACAGCTGCTGCTGCAACTGCACTTGAATCTTTTAGGCCGTTGTGGCACTTGTGCATGTTAGACACAAAAATCTAAATTATTTAAGTGCCCACATATACACGGGAAACGAAGAGAGTGTACAGACACATACACAGACATATATGCATCCGCTGGCAAGAGAGCAAAGTGCGAGGTGAGTTTGACTGGCAGATACCCATTAAATATACTTGAGATATTATTATTGTCAAATACATACAAAAATAAAGAAGGGGTTTATGTGAAACTAATCAATTCCGAATCAAACATTTTGTATTCACTTGTATTCAATAGGTATGCAAGTAAGTAGCAAGTAAAGTAAAAATTATATTAATAATAATAATAATAATAATAATATATAAATAGAATAATAACAAACATTATAAAAATAATAAGCTAGATAAACGTGAAATGGAAAAAATATCATTTATACTTGAAGCTAATATTTGTTTTAATTTCTGTTAACATACATAATGTGATATGAAATCCATTCTTACTTGATGAGCTATACACATTAGTATGGGCAATAAAATTATATACCCAAAACTTTGAACACTCGTGCAAAGTGAAAAAAAAAGGAGGAAATTCACATATGAATAATTAAATAATTATTTATTTCTGCTTGCATTTATATAATATGGAATATAACATAATAATGATTGAGCATAAATCTACGAATACATGTATATATTGTATCAAACATGTTCTAAATGTCTGCTTATCGAATGTCATACCCTGTTAAAAGATACTTCTGTGCAGGGTGTATAAAAAGCAACACACACACATAAAAAAGAAGCAACATGAAAATGCGCTAAAGTGAGTATTGCACTTGTTGTTGCTGTTGTTGTTGTTGTTGTTGCTGTTCTTTGGCTTTATGCTGCAGACACACACTAACACACACACACACACACATTTTTTTGGCATCATTTAGGTGCTCGTCGAGCAACTGATGCAAATTTAATTTGGACACCTCACACAAAAAATGCGCCTGACAGGCTGAGGGTGTGTGTGTGGGTGAAGGGAGGGGGCTAAAATGTTGGGGTTGGGAATGGTTAAGGGTAGCTATCTGCGTCATAACTTGCGCTTGAGTGTGTATGAACTGCAACTAATGATGTTGCAGGCACTCGAATTCGCCTTTTTGATTTAACGATCGACTTTTTTTTCTCTTTCTTTTCGGTCGTTGATAATAGTGGGGTTAAAGGTGGCAGAGGGGTGAAGGGTGACGGGTAGCGCTTAATGACTGGTTTGGTTTTGGTTTTGGTTTTGGTTAGCTGGTTGACTGGTTAACTTGTTGGTTGGTTAGCTGCCCGTTTCCTGCGGCTTATGGTTGCCTCTTGACTTTTGCTTTTGGTTTTGTCTCGAGCTTTTTTTTTGTGTATCATTTTTTTATTTCTCTCTTTTTATTGGTGCTTGATGCGCCTATAAACTTTCTGCACCGTTGCACAATTTGCCAGGCTGGCTGGCAAAGTTATTTATCATAAGTTTAACTGCAGTGGTGCGCATGAAAAACAAAGTATTCACAAATATATATATTATTCTGTACGAAGAGGGTTCATCATATGCAAATAAAATTCGAAAAATACGCATAAATGCCAAGGTGCTTTACTTGAGCGCCTTTGCATATGCTAAATGAATTGACCTTGGCATTATATTCGGCTCGATTGCTAGCATGTCTGATAAAAATATATATATATAAGCACATTTCTCTAAGCAGCTCATAATATGGTTAGCAGCACAGGTGTGAATATTAAGCTGCTTTTCGGATTGTCAGCTGATTTGTCTGATTTGTGTATCAGCTCAATATTGTTTATTGGTTTGTTATTGCATTGAAATGAACAAAAATAAAGCCGAAACACATTTTATCGAAATAAGCGGATAGAAACTCATAAAAATAACATATTTCACTTAAACCACTTCTGCAACCACATTAATAGTAGTGGAAAGTACTTCAAAGTTGACTAATGGAAATAAATTAAAGTGCAAATAGCCAAAGGAAATCATTTCAAATAAAGCTTAATAGTTTATAAGCTGTTGGTAAGCTTTTTATCCACCACAGCTTATAATAAAATAAACATCAAACAACCTAACAAAACAAGATCAAAATGTTGTTTGTGAATAACCCGAAAATTTAACTGTTCAATAGTTCACATAGAAAAGCGATAAATGAGTAATTGAAAATGCATAAGCCAATAAAACACAAATTAATTTAAGTTAAATTTATATACCATAACAGTTAATACAGATTGAAAGCTAAATAACGCTAAAAATGAAGTAAAGCAAAAACTCTGGAGTAAATACACATACCAGAATTATATATCCCTTTATAAATAGCAACTTCCGCTTGTCCAGCGCAAATAAACTATCTTCTTTATGCCTATGGGCTGTTAAGTCTGTTTTGGAATCATTTTACTATTTCATCACAAATATTGATGAACTAACCCAGAACTTTTATAACAGTGACAATCGGTTCCCATATGAACACATAAATCAATTAGTTTTGTGAATTATAGCTGCAGTTAGCCTTAAATTTTAAATTGAATTAGTTTTCTAAAGAAACTTGTGCACCACTACTAACAATTCATATATTCATAATTAACTTGAGAAAAATTTTAATTTAATTTATTATTGCATTTCACGCAAATCCAGCGACTATTCCCTAGTTTGAGAAACTTAAAGAAGTTTGTGGGATATGTAAAATAAAATTATTTTTGGCATGCAGAGTTCGTATAAGAAATTCATGAAAAGCTAAGCACCTTAAAAGTATTTGGCTTCAAGCGTTTAAGCCAGACTG